TTTGCTTTTTTCTTTGATAAGGTATTATTTTTTTGATTTAGCTTGTTAAAAAGGGTTTCATTTTCCGTTTTCTATACCCTAAATAGGGGTGCGGATTACCAACCTTTTCCGCGCTCCCCTTTTCAAAATTTACCGGAGGTACCCCCCCCCCCCCGTGGCTAATTTCCAGCGTTCACAAAAGCGTCATTGTTAGCAACTCCATTGAAACACACTTTTCCAGGAATGTTTTTGAAGTCGTTCAATAAACTCGCGGGCCTGGTTTTATGCCAATAAAACCTTCCCGCTCGTTTATTAAACATAACTAAAGTTCCTCTGCTTTCTGGTATTGAAATTCTCCTATTCTGCTTTATTTATATCGTAAACTCAAGTGATATTTTTCTTTCTTGATGGCCATGCAGTTAAGCATAACCACGTAGTTGAAGTGCGTACTTATTTAGCGTGCGCTCAATCGACTCCATTCCTAAATAAGAATGCTTAGAAATTTCTCTATTCTGTGAACCACTGAAATGTTACATGCATCTTGTTAATAATGTTTTACTTAACCAGTCTTGTAGGTGTTACGATGTATTGAATGCCTAGTGCAATCCCTACCCTTTTATACAGCCGGAAAAAGGTCCCTGTTTTGGGCAGGGCCTCCCCTTGTAGGTCATTATAGGGATACTACATGGGGGAGGGGGAGAAAGGGGAGGATTATCAGTGTGACTTTCTCCCCTGGAGAAAGTCACACTGATAATCGCATAATGCCTGTAATTAATGAATTTACTACAGAATTCAATCAGTTGAAAGCATTGAATCATCACAGGAAAATTACATCCAAATCCCAGCAGATTTTGGGAAATTTTCTTTTTTTTTCATTTTTTTTTATTCATCCTTGATGCAGTTGTTAGAAGGGCCTCCTCCTCCTCCTTCCTAGCAGAAGTCTTTTTCTGTCATGGTTATTAGCAGCATGTACAAAGTTATTTGCACTATTAATATTCATATGGCACAAAAAAATAATTTGTACATGCTAAAAATGACGTTCAGAAGAAACCTCTGCTGTCAGGGTATAAGGTCTAAAGTTAAAAAGCATCAATTCAAAGGAATTCACCATTTTGTGGAATCCCAGCTGGAAAAATTCAATTATAGTAAAGATAAGAGTGAAGGTTTTACTTGTTAAACTAATTTATTAATTAACAGCCAAGTGCTCTTGATGGATTAAAAATAAAGATAATTTAATAGTCTCTTTTTCACTGATTAAAAATTTAGACGGTAAGATTATAATTACAATAAAAGCTAAAGACAGGCATTTGTTTGACTAATAAGGATTATATCTTTATTCACATCTTTTCAAGAAACACTTATTATTAAGTTGTTAGACATAATACCGTAAAATTCCGAAAGTAAGCCCTGGGGCTTATGTTTTTCAAAGGCCTTTTTTGAGAGGCTTATTTTTGGAGGGGCTTATGTAGGGAGGGAAATTTGTGTTTCAAAATCGATTGGGCTAGCTTGTAGTGGGAAGAAAATTTACCATTTTTGCTTTGTTTTACTTTGTATTGGAGGGCAAATTCCAAGTACAAGCCCCCCTGGCGAGCTTATATTCGGAGGGGGAATTAATCAGAGGGTTTTTTCCACTATGATTTTGGGGGGCTTATATTTGAAGGGGCTTATTTTCGGAATTTTACGGTACTCTGTAACAGCAACAAAGCAGACTTGTCAGACTTGCTCACTATTCAGTTACCCTAACTTTCAGGTCAACTATTTTTATCCAGTACAGTAATAATGATCTCTAGGGACTTTAGTGGGGGGGGGGGGGGGGAGCCCCCTTTACAGGACCCAAATGGGTCTTTTTTTTTTTGGGGAAAAAAAAACCTAAAGGGGAAATGGGGGTTTTTTTTGAAGGTGGAAAAAACAACCCACATTTTTTAAAAGGGGGTATAGTTTTTTCCCCTTTTACACCTCAGTCGGAAAGACCAAACCTCGCACCCCACCCAACACAAAGCTATCGTTAAAAAACGTTGTTGGTATGGTGTCTTTCCTTTTTTTGCTCCTCTTTTTTCTTGTTAATTTTTTTTTTCCCGAATATAAAATTGTTTGTGGTGGGTGTGTGGGGGGGGGGGGGGGGGGGGTAGCCCCCTTACATGAGCCATATAGGTACTGTTTATTTGTAGGAGAAACAAACCTGACAGGTGAATCGTGGTGTTTTATGAAGCTGTGAAAACCAAGCTCCAGTTGTTCAAATGGTGGATAGCATTTATCCACTGTATACCTCAATAAAAATCTCTATCCAGTGTATAAAACAATTGGTTTCCCTAATACTTATCCACTGGATAGAGATTTATCTGATGGATAGCACTATCCAGCTTTTGAACATCTGGGGCCAGGTAATTAGAACCTCAGATGTTTCAAGATCATGATAAAATTAAGCTCATCTTGTGCCTCCTGAATACTACTAAGACTTCCATAATTCGGTCCTCTTTGATCCAACTGTTTCCTTTTTATCCTTGACTAAAAGTGGGTAATTTTTTTAAACATTTCTTACTAAGGAAATGGTTTTTCCACGTGCACTACCTCTTAATATTCCAGATTCAATGCCAGGGGTGCTTTTTCCATGTTAAAGTGACAGGGGTGATACTTCAACTGTTTAGTGGGTGACATTTTAAGTGACTGCACTTGAAAAATGACCAAGGGTCTGTAAAAAGTTCTTAGAACCTGGGATTTGCCCTATTGAAGACTGGGATTCGGCATTTTAAAGCAAAATGAAGACATGACTTGGGATTGAAAATATGCCAGGATGCAGGATGCTCAAACCACTAAGGATGATGACAATGACAGGATGACCTGACTTAAGAAACCTGCTGGGGCCCCTCTCACCACTGTTATTTGCAGTTTCTACTTCAAACTCATGGAGTGAGCTTATCATGAGCCCACTGTCCCCACCACTCTTTGGGATTCTGGTGTACTTCAGTAGTTGTCTAACAGTTACCACCTTGTTTTTTATATGACAATGATCAGCTCTCAGAGTATTTAACCCCCCAATGGTGACCAACATCCATGTTCTTCTATCAGTATCACACATAATGAAAAGAAAAGGTTATGAGTATCCATCAAATGATCACCAAAGGGAAAATGTTTGATCTTTTAATAAATTCTCTCCATGAAATTGAGGAGGGCAAGTATGAAGACCAGTCTGGAGAACTGGCACTTAAAGGCTTTCTAGAGTGGACGCTTATTTAACAATTAACTAACAAAGTGTTTTACACATCACCATACTTTGCATTTCAAACTCATCTACAGACTGCTTCCTTTTTTAAAGTTGGAATTTCCTTCATGAAAAGATCAGCTGATTCTTTGAGTAGGAACTGATTAAACGGGCAGTTATGGTTACGGTAGCACGTCAACACAACATCAGCGAGGCATACAGCCGGGCGGCAGTAGTGGCTTGCGTATGAACAAGTCCACACAGTATAGTATGCAGTGAAGAAACTCAACTTCAAATCCGTAATGTAAACCGAAAACGAGGACGATCACAGGCAGGAAATGATGACTTTACTTCTTTCTCTTTGATCTTCTTTTGATGCATGGTGAAATCAAAAAGACGCTTGGAGGAGAACAACACTTCACCTTTCTTCCCGCCCTCTTTTGTTTCCGTTTCGCGGCAAATTTCCTTTGAGTTGGTGTTTTCAAGATCGCCTTCAGGCCACTGGATTTTTGCCCGCTTTCCTTTTCAAGCTGATCTTGATGTAATGACTTAGCGTCGACGAACGGTACTAAAATTTTAGAATTACGCCGTGGTTTGGTAGTCACAGTCTGAACGGTGCTATCATGAGGATGATCTGGCCCGCATGGAAATTCGCCCGCAAGGGATGAAATGTTCCGCAACTTTGCTTCTTTTGTCATGATAGGCTTTTGCTTGTCCAGACAAGTTCCTCTTGATCCATTTACTGACTTCTCGGGTATCATAAATGAGCCATTTAACCCAACTCCGCTAGAATGAACTAACAAACCAGAATTCAAAGCCCTTATAATGGCCGACTTTACCATCTGCGAAGTTATAACCTTTGTTCCTTTCTCCATCCTTCCCTCCACGTATTTAACAATAGTTTGCCTTGACGCTCCATGGCCATTTCCTTTAGCTAACATTTTAACTGCCTCAATAACGCTTGGAACATAATCTGGACGGTTAGCGCGTTTTCTTGTAGTGGGAGACATCTTGCTTCGGCTTGCACGTGCAGAGTTGGAAATTTCGCGCGCGCTGCTGAAGTGAAATGTTTGATGACGTCATAAAGTCGATAATCACTTGGTTCCCTTTTTTTTTGGAAGTCTAAAGCTGCAGGAAAATATTATTTCATCTTAGTACGATTTCCTATTTTTCTTAAAAGTAAGTTGGGCAACAAACGCGATGGAGTAACGAACGCAGAAGGATCGAGAAACGAGGGCTTCAGCCAGAAAAGCCACCTTTTGATTTCCTAATAAGAGGGTGTAGTCCGATTCTGCGGAAAAAATTCACTCATTCATATTTATACACCATATCGCACATCATATCAATAAAGTTGAATTATAAAGAAAGATAAGGGGAAACAGATGGCGAGGAAACCTGAAAGAAACTCCGGCCACGGGGCTTGTAAAGAATCAGGTTCACCGTTTTCTCGGAAATAACAACAAAAGTGAGTCTAACCAGCAAAAGAAGTGCAAGCTTCTTCAAAAATAAATGTAGCTATTTAAGCTGAAAGAAATATTTATTTAATACCTAAATCTCTCTTAACTGTTTGTCTTTCACTCAAGCATTCTACTGAACATAGTTAATTAAACCCTAGGTTTTTGTTAGGTTTTTTTGACCTGACCTTGCACAAAGTTCAATAGCATTCTTATCATTTTGGAGTTTTTGACCAATAGAAACATTGCATTAATTTATTCAGTCATAATTTATGAACAGAAAAAGAAAGGATTGTTCACGGTCAGGTAGCCTGAGATCATGCCCTCGCAGGTTAACGGTCAGGGAGCTTCCAACATAACCTACAGCACCATTATTTTCAACTTTGATGTTTGCCGGGTTTCCTAACCAGTCTCCTCTACTAAATGTATTAACTAACGACCGCATCCTTCTAGTAACAATGGTGGAATAATTAATGCAACAACTATGAGAAAATCTGAGTTTAGGCTAAGTTTGTGCGGAAGCGGACAATTTTTCGACCTGCCGAAAAGTAAAAAAAAATTGTGTCCGGGTGTTTCTCTCACACAGAAGCCAGGGTAACCGTTAAATCAAAAACCTACAAATTGCCTTTTGCCTATTTTTTTCACCTGATTTTACATTAAATGGCCAGATTTGGATGTTTTTTGCTGAAAAGTGGACTTTCGCGAAAAGCTTGGTACTGTGTTGATGTATTTAATATTTTTGCCAGTCTTGAAATGGAGTACCTGGTTTTGAAACAGCGCTGTAGCGTGGGGAGGGGCCGGGGGGGCCTGGGTCCCCTTAATATTTTGAAGAGCACGTTTAATTTGGTCAGCGGCCACGCTCTTAACGCTGCTCTACGGTTCATTGGGTTTATTTCGGTTCGCTAAAGCGTGATTTTTATTTTTTTATGGCTTAAAAAAAGAAATATCAGTTAAAAATTACTGGAAATTAATGCTCTCGTAAGGCGGAAAATGATATTTCAGAGACCTTATATTTTAAAACCTTCAGGTGGAGCATACCCAAGACTACCCTAGCAGCTCGCCCCTTCGGCGCTCCTGATTGCCCCCCCGCCCCCAATAAATCTAACCTTGCTACGGCACTGAGTAAAGCGTTACGCAAATCGTGTCCAGATGAGACCTGGGATCGAATCAGAGATCAAACCTATGTACATCTTCAGCTGATTTACCACGCCACGCAATCGTGAAACCACGCCTTCCTCGGATGTATTAGTACTTCACATAACGCTGATTAAAGTTTGGACTATACCAGCAACAACTTTTTCCCAACGTTGTCATTCAAATATTTTGAGTGGTGAGGGCTCACGTATAGTAACATTTTTCCTTGTAAATGGAACACTAAAGCATGAATTTTCACCGGTCAAACATTCGTCACTTCGTACTGGCCATGGGAACAAAGCCTACTGAAGACAACTGAGTTTCCTGGCTCGCTCAGTTTTTAATAAAAGGCGCCTGAGAAAGGTTTTATGTCGCGTATAGTGATTCAAATACATGTTCGATTCAAAATCGACATCAATGAATAAATGGATCAATGGTTTTTTAAATGTATTAAAATTAATCATCATATGAGATACTAATTCACCTACTTTTCTGAAATACAACCTGAGATCATACTTTATTGTCGTTCCGCTTGGTAAATAAAATTCCTGCGAGCAAGGCGCGGCCGAGTAATGAAAACACGCATAAAAGCTGATAAAAATCAGCTTCAATTCAGGCTACCTGAAAAAACATATAATCATACATTATGAACAAAACAAAGGGACGAGGGTGCTATGCAAGCAAAAATGGCCACTCTGTTCATCATCAACAAATGTCATCACAGCTCACCAATATTTTAAGTATAATTTTTTCCAGTGTTCCCGGGAGTCTCTCGATCACTTTTTTGAAACATCTTGGAAGAAAAAAAAACTGAAAAAAGCACTCTTTACTTGCAGCTGCAAATTCAGCAGTTTATGATATTATCATCAGAGCATCATACATATTCTGGTACGTTTCTAAACTACAAACTGTATTAACCAATGATATCTTCTGTCTTATTTTAATGTTTTTCTTTACGGCGAAATGGAAATTTAAAATACATGGTAATTCCACCAAATGTCAACGTGTTGTAAAAAAACTGGTAACATGTGTCGGTATAGCTGAAATACTTAAATGTTACTGCCAAAATTCAAAAAGCATATTTCAGTTTGTGAACAATGTCTACTCAGGTATCTTACACTTGATAAAAATCCTACACCTGAATCCATTTTATTCGGCTTATTTGTAAACTAGGGCCGCACAAGACTAAATAATTAATGTGATTTTTCTTCCACTCCAATGGCATGTTATGTAAACCTAATTAGCTGGTTGGTTCATACCGATCTACTGCATCTCTTGCTAACTGGTGGCAATTCCACTATTGACTAAGTACACCTCAAATCACGCGCGTCGCTCTAACCTATTGGCTAAATGCCAGGATTTAAAGTTTACTCACAACCTGTTGTCAGTAGCGTTGTATTAAATTCATCCTCTCCACGCCACGCTAGTTTGGCTAGTTTGGAGAGATAAAGAGACATTTGCTACTTACGTTGACATTTGTTCATGGCTCATGCCTTTAAAATCTTCTAAGTTCTGGTACCATTAGAAAACTGCATCACTCTGGCTTCAAGCGGTAATTCGGGAATTTTGAAGAGGAAAAGCATTAAAATTCAAGTATCAGGAACAAAAATGCCGAGCGTCACACATCCACTGCAAGCGGCTTCCTTATCCGGCCATGATGCGTTTGTAGAAGGAGTGGAATTCAGTAGTAACGGGAAATATATTATATCAAGTTCAGCAGGTGGGAAACGAAAATTAGTATTTTTATTTGTATTTTAATGTTCTTGTATTTACATCATAGATAATTTCTGTCCAAAAAAGTCCTTTACAACATGTTGAAACCCCGAAAAAAATCATCGGTATTTCTTTGCCGTAAAACGTTTCGCGCTTCTTCACGCGCGAAACGCGCGAAGATGAGAGCGAGGCTGTTGTTATATCAAACATGGCGGCCGTGGAAGTCGCTTCACTGGCGACGATCGCAGTAACCTGTGTAATAGCTGCTGTATTGTTAGCGGTTGTGTTTTATATTGGGTTTAAGAGTCAACGGCAAAGTGAACAGAATACTGAGATAAATCAAGGAGAACTGGAGTTAAAGCCGGTGGAAAACGGCCAAAGGAAAGACAAAACAAAACAAAGTGGCAAAGGGAAAAAGGGTGTTCTTCAGTTGAAAAGCCACCGCAGACAATATGCTGTACTTAAAGGACACACAGAACACATCTTTGATTTGGAGTTTAGTTTAAATGGAAAGTACCTGGCTTCAACCTCACAAGGTCCTCACCAAATTTAATTATCAGCTGATATAGTAATTATATGCACGAGACACGTGCGCGCACAATTAAGCTTACTGTAGCCATTATTATTATCTTAGGCTTCATCTACAAAACGCACCTCAGTAGCTGTAAACAATTTATTATTTATTAGCCATTTTTCTTTACTTTCTTATTACGCTTTTACGGTTTCTTTGATTTGTTTTGCTGTCTAGTGAAATGGAAACGTTTCAGGTGAAGGATTAAAATTATGCTCAAATTTATTTCGAGATAGATAAGCTCAATTTCAACTCTAATCTTTTTCGCCGAATCAGTCTCCTTGTAAAATGCACTTTTCTAAATCTGACGAAGGAAATTTAAGCCTATCTCATTTAACCCATGTTAATTTAAAAGTTCAACACTGGCAAAGTTCACAGAGCAAGTTGGAGTGAAATATACCTTGATCAGTAAACATCTAGTCAATTTTAAGCTGAGGGAAAGTGGATAACAAAGGTGCAATAAATTGACACGTCATATGTGTGGGAAGAAACTGCGTGCACAGACCCAGTCTTGGAAAGTTTTTTCTTCTTCTCTGAGGATCATTTATTATTGTTTACTTAATTGACTTAATCCTTACCAGTTTTTTAATTTGTCGAACAAGTAAACAATTTTTGGTATGTTCTTAACTTTTTTGTGCAAAAGAAACTCACTTTATTTCCATTTGGCATATTTCTCAATTAAGTATAAGTTAAAAATTTTATTTTCTCTGGAGAAAAATAATCGTGTCATAAATTTATGAGAGAGTGTAATAAGTAAAGTGCTGGTAATTGAGGAATCTTTACAATTAAGATAAATCCTTTGTTTTGATTTAAACATCATGACTCCAAGACATATGTCTATTTTCAATGTTTTTATAAGTTTGCTGTGTAAATCTCAAGTACATTATCCTTACTTTAAGTGTTGAGGTGCTTGTTTTGAAATACGTATCTATGAATATTGTTCTTTTTTATCCAGTGGAATTGAAAGCTTTATCAAAAATTTATTACTTCATGCTAATTTGAGAAAATGCAGCTGTAGGGGTAATCTCACTTATGAAACGGCCTGATTTATTCAGCATTAATTTGGTCTCGCAAATAAAAATAATTTTTAAAAATCAAACTACTTCTTGTACCACAATGATTTCTTTTAGCGAGAAGAAATCCATATCCTTTATATCAATACTTATGTCTTTGTCTAATTGGTGATTTCACATGTACAACATGTAAGACATGGAATAGACCATTTCCAAGTTCCAAAAGATCTCACTCCCCAGCATAGCAAGGCTACGTGTAAAACCTTTCTTGTGAAAATGAGTTTTATTTGCTTGACAATAAAAAATCATCTTCGTATCAGTAAATTTCACACTTCCCATTGCTTTGAAATTGAGGCTTCAGACAACTTGAAAATGGCCTTCACACAACACACCAATTATTTTGTAATGCTGACTGCTGTTAGGTTTACTTAAGTCTAATGTCAAAGAAGTAAATGCTTCCAATATTGAACAAGGCATAATTGGCCTATGCTTTGGTAATTCGTACCCACTGTTAACTTAAATCTATATTGAGTGGAATTGTTTTGTTCTTGTAGACAGAACTGTGAGATTGTGGAGTGTAAAAGATTTTAAAGAAAAGGAGCACAAGTAAGTTCAATTGTCTATAATTCTTATTGATAACTGTACATCTGTTATACACAGTCATAATGAATGAAAAAACTACCAAAAGCTGCAACGGGCTTATACAGATTTTCTTTGTAAGAGGTTTTAGTAGGGCTCTTAAAATGACGGGCCTATATCCAAAGAGGCTTATAACCAGAAGAGCAAAAGGGTTCTCAAACTCATTAATAATTCATGAAGTTACCAGCCAATAAATTCACATGATGTCTATTTTGGGTCTATTTTAGTCAAGTGGATGAGTCTTCATACCCAATGAAACACCAGATGAAAATACGCTGTGTTTTCAAAAGTAGGTTGAGTTTGATTGTCCGGGTGAACGTAGTCCTGAATAGGACTGTTGTTGTTGACAGTAACTGACGTTTCGACAACCTGTGCGGTAGTCATCTTCAGAGTCAAAGTGAGTTGTATAACGCCAGTTGATGGTATTATACTCTGGTTATTGATCTGATTGGTCAATTACGTCGCAATGTTATTGGTCATCTGTCAGTTAAGCCGTGATGTTATTGGCTATGAAGACTCGTAATCGGTAATTGGTGCATTTCGATCCATCTATTGTCACAGTTAAACAGTCGTCTATTGTTAGTCAAATTGTCAGTTCTCCAGTTGTTCTCTCGTAGTTAGTTTTGCTTGATCTCGTCAATATGTCGTTTGTACGGCGCTGGTAACTGTTGTCTACGATTCAGTGGCATTTGTTCTAAGTTAGTAAACCAGCTTTCTAAAGTTAGACGTTGATAGTAGTCTGTAGAATACATTAAACATGTCGCAGAGTCCCAGTCAATTTGATGTTTCGTCTTTAAATGGTCCTCAGCAATGTGATTGTTAACATCACCATTCCTCATCGCTTGTTTGAGTTCGGTCAGTCGCGTGCTTAAGTTTCTGCCAGTTTCACCATTGTAAGAAGCCTGGCAGTCGCAGCATTTGATCTTGTGTGCTGCTCCCTGTCTGTCCTCCGGTTCGTCTTTGTCCTTGAAATTAGTAAGCAGTCGCCGTAAAGTGGTTATCGGTTTGTGTGCAACACGTATATTGCAAGGTTGTAATATACGTGCAATAGTTTCAGAGGTGCCTTTGATGTATGATATAGTTGCTGTTGTAACAGGGCCAGAGTTGGTCTGAGTGTGGGAATCAGTGTTACTGTGAGTGTTCCGTCTAACAAAGTCTGTGTTGTAATTGATCTTACTAAAAACGTTGTTAAGATAATCTGTCTCGTCTTGTAGGCTGTCAGGTGAGTCGCAAACTAGTTGCGCTCGTCTCGTCAGAGTCCCGATAGTAGTAACCTTGTTAGAGGTCGGATTGTACGAAGACTGGTCTAGTAATCGGTTGGTATGTGTCGGTTTTCTGTAAATTGTCGGTTTTAGTTTGTTGTTGTCACGAGTGACCAAGCAGTCTAGAAAAGGTATCTTACCATTTTCTTCTATCTCCTTGGTGAACTGTATGTCTGCATTCTGTCTGCTAAGGTGTTCATGAAAATCGTCGATTCCATCTTTGGTATGGCCGTGAATGGATCGTCAACGTAACGTAACCGAAGAGGTACAGTTCGCGTGTAGGTAGCTAGGGCTTGTTCCTCGTTTTTTTTGCATGACAATTTCTGCTACAACAACAAAAACTGGAGAGACCATAGCTGTACCGTGTAACTGTTTGTAGTGTTTGCCGTTGTACTGAAAGTATGTCGAAGTCAAACAGAGGTTGAGTAGGTCCATAATGTCGTCTGTAGTTAGTGGTAGTTCAACAGTAGAGTTCTTATTAGCATTCTCAGTACAGTCTAGAGCCAGTTGAAGTGGAATAGTGGTGAACAGCGATTTCACGTCAAAGGACACTAGTTTGTGGTCGTCTGGTATCTGTATTGTCTTAATGGCGTCAATAAAGTTCTCAGTAGACTGTAGTTTGTGTCTAGATTCGTCAGTCAGTGGTTTCAGTACATTAGTTAAGTATTTAGACAGTTGGTAGGTTGGGGACCCATCGGGTTTGTGTAGTTTTGGTAGTCCATACAGCTTGGGTGGCTGCGGAACACTACACCTCAGTCTGTTGTAGCATCGAAAGTCGATCTTGTCCGTTTTTTTTCAGTGTAAGCAGTTTGTTGTTAAGTTGGTGTTGCAGTGCGGATGTTGGGTCTCGTTTAAGGACGGTGCCCACTAATGGGAAGTATTTTTTCCCAGATAATGACTATGTGAGACAAGTAGATCATATCAGGGGCTATTGAAATCCAAAAAGAAAACTGGGGGTAACCTGGCATTTTTCAGTCTAGATAACTGGGCTTCAATGTGGAGAAAAATGCTGAATAGGCATTTTTAAGAAATATGATAAAAAGTTATTTTTTCCCCAAATTTCAGAGTGTACACGTGAACTGGCACAAATGCAATGATAATTGTAACAAGGATTCAAAAATCAGCAACAAATGATAACATAACAAGTGCTCCTTATACATCTTTTTTTGAAGTATCAGCACAACTGGGAAGTTATCAGCAGTTACCCCTCTCCACGCGTTTGCCTTAAAAATAGTGTAAACAACATGTTCCCCAAACCAAAAATTGATAGTTTGCTGAGTAGGCTTATTACTTTCGTTTGGTAAGATAAAAAGTAGGGGTTACCACGCATATTTAGAAGTTAAAGTGGTTGGTTTCGACCTTAATTTAATCGCTTTGGGGGGTATTTACAATTTTTCCCATAGTAAAACAGTTATTTCACTGAAGAGATTTTTTGGGAAGTGCTTACTGTGGGTATTTCTAAAGGTTATTGAAGGAAAGGCATAAAATGAAAGCTGCATATTCTTAATTTCCAAAAAAAGCCTAAATATGGTGCTGAAATTAGTAAAGCGTTTACCAAATATATACGTACTAGGAAAATTAATTCTTTGAATTCATTTTCTTCTTCCACTCCTTGACAACTTTGCACGACAGTCAAATTTGCATGACAGTCTCAACTCGATTCTCAAACTTGATCCTCGCGTCTTGAAGCCCTGAGAAAACTTTATGTGAGATTTGAGTCCCTCATTTAGTGTTTCGAGAAACCAGGGCTTTAAAAAAACAATTTATTTCTCAAAGAAAGACAAACCAATAACCGTTGGTATGAAAGGAATTCGCACCGACCATCAGCGTTTCTATGCCTGCATCACTTCTAATACTGTATTGTGTGTAAGCGTGTTATTCGAAAAAAAAAAAAACCAATGAATTAATGATAAATTTCAGCCAATTGCATCTTTGTATTTTTAGTGAAGTGAACGTATTTACGTCCATTGTTGGAGGCGTAAAGTGAAATTTTATCTTGAAATAAATATCTCTTTGAATCTTTTACAAAACAGTGATGTTCAGTTTTTTGCCAGCCCCTTGGTTTTCCTGCAAGACATGTAACAAAAATAGAAAGGCATGAATAATTAACAATTAATGAATGAGGCTGAGTATCTTATGAAGAATTATGGAGATCGAGGAGGGTGTTATCTGTCGAGGCCGTAGGCCGATGCGGATAACACCCTCCAAGATCTTCATAATTCTTCATATGATACGAAAGCCGAATTCAATAATTGTTTTATTATTCATGCAAAATAATTCTTAGTTTAAAAACATGGCTAAAACATGCTTACCTCCATCGATCCATTGATGTTAAGTTCATCTTCTATAGTCCACGTTTAGGTTTGTCCAGCTCCGCAAATATTCTCTAAAAAGCAGATGCCGCCCTTCGCGTTGTCTTCTTGCTGTTCTTGCCATGTTTTTAGCTATTTTTTGCCTAGTTCTTACTCTTAAAACGAGTGAAATGTCCGCCATTTTTTCAAGTTCACAAGCAAAACAACTCAACCTTGTCCCCAGGTCTTCTCAGTTAACGGTGCCTTAACCTGCAAAAACGCTGCATTTTTGACGTCATTTCCTCGTTAAACACAAAATTCTTCCAAATTTGGTCATCAGTAACTGGTTATGGTGAATTAAACATGCGCTTTTAGCCAATCAGAATCAGGGGAATATTTTGAATGAATAATAAAGATAAATAACTGATATAAGAAATTGCTAAGTTTAACATTAAGACTAAGATAGAAAATGCCACCTACATGTCAAAATACAGTTTGCTTATGTCAGGTAAAATTTGAAACCTGTTATTGGATCACTCATCGCAACTTTTCACTATACAGCTTCCTATGTTTGTTTCTAAGGAAATCTGGCTCAGGAAAGAGTCATGAATACCAGACTTTTCTTGGAGAATATTCCATTCAAGTTTATTTGCATATTGGAAACTTGAACTACGCAAGCAAAATTCAGACAAGGAAGTGAATTAGAAGACACTTCCTTGTTTGTTTTCTTTTTTTCTGTGGTAATTTTTTTGTGCGACTGGTAGAAAGTTATTTATGTTTTCTATGGAAACAAGGGGAAACTATTTGCTTTTCTGTCTTTGGGCTATACCTTCTTGCAACTTAAATTTATTCGCTGGGAACTTGTTTTTCTTAAAACTGTGAAAGGTTTGAACCCAGGAGTCATTTCATTAGTAGGTTGAGTATGATCGTCTAGGTGAACATAGTCCTGGACAGGACTGGTGTTGTTGACAGTGACTAACGTTTCGACCACCAGTGACATTACGAGTCTTTATAGCCAATAACATTGACAGCTCTACTGACAGACAACCAATAACATCGCGACTTAATTGATCAATCAGGTCATTAACCAGAGTTTAATACCATCAACGTGACACTTTGACTCTGAAGATTACTACCACACAGGTTGTCGAAACATCAGTCACTGTCAACAACAACCGTCTTATTCAGGACTACATTCACCCGGACAATCATACTCAACCTACTTGTTTTTCTGAGTTAGTCGCCAAAAGGCAACTTCATCTTTTTTTTTTCAATTTCGTGCCCTGAAACTTTTTACTCCAACAGGTGATTTAACATACAGTGGTCAAATTTCTTCATACTCTGTCTGAAGCACATTATGCAGAAATGTCTTTCACGATAGATTGTATGAGGCCAAAATACAATTTCAGAATACATGGCTCGATCATGTTTTTCCCTAATGTCATGGAAATATATATATGCTTAATTGTTTTCGGAACGTACTTAAGGTCTGTTATTCCTCCATGAAACATCTTGCACAGATTCTCTTCAAACTTGATATAATTTGAACGAAGCTCAGAATTGGTCAAACTTAAATTTCAATGCTGATCCCCTCCCCTCAAAGCAAAAATCTTCCCACTCTAGAAATAAATACTGTTTAACAGAGACTTAGCTGTGCTCAACACACCTGAGGATCTGAGTTTTTTGGGAGTGATCTGAGCACTGAATTTTTCTAACACCCTTCTCTTTTATTAAACTACAGCAGTGTATAATGAGAACATCATTTCATGAGATCTCTGAATTGAGACCATACTGGAGTCTCATTTCCCTTGTACAATTCACATGTGAATCATGACAGATTTGCTCAGAGTTAGGTTATAAATGTTTGCACATACAAAAGCCTGCAGAGTCATAGAGTATTTTGCTTCTGGTGCTCAGAATAGTCATCACCTTACTTACTTACATGTATATTTTCCTATGGAAACTGCCATCACAGCAAGGTTTAAAAGTCAAGTCTATACCAGCATATGGTCAAGTCAGTTTATCTGACGTCACAGTTTCCTCAGAATTATAACCAAGACTTGGTTATATATAAAATAAATACACACATGATAAAGGAAAATATGCAAGGCCAAGTAAATTTACTTGCTTATTTCATTATTTTCTTATTGTACAGTTTTTATTTTAGCATACAAGTTATATGATAAATAACCTTAACTCCCCATAAATAGATGGCTGGTCTAAAATATTTCCACAGGTCAAAGTGCAGGTCATTTGATGTCTGCATGGTTTTTCATAATACCCTGTAATTATGCTTAGTTCCAGTGTCATTTTAGACCATTGTTTTAACTAATTTCTTTCTTCTTTTCCATTTTTTGTTTAGTTAGGAATTGTTTAAATGAAAACTTAAGTGTCATTTTCCACTGGATAGAAAGTCGTATTCTTTTGATTTAATTTCAGCAATTTTTTTAAGGAAATTTGCGGAGTAATATAATTTTCTCTACCTTTAGATATGTGCGAGCTAATGTTGACTTTGACCATGGAACAAAGGTTTCATTTAGCCCTGATACAAGGTAAGAGCTAGAAGATTTTGTTTTCTTTACACAACACATCTGTTAATAGAATATCCATTATCTGCTCTGCCTGTTTGTAACACAGGCATATAATCTCCAACTTTGATCTAGTAATTTTGCCGTCGCAAATATAATCCTACAATCCTACATTGCGCATTCAACTTACAGAGGCTCTTAGCCAATGAGAAGACAGATGATGAGTACAATGTATAATAATATTGTTTATTTGCCTGGCTTATACACAATATTTTTTGGAGGACTTATCCTCAGGGTTTTGGATTTTGAAGTTATGTTTGGGAAAATAATTCGGGCTTAAAGTGCTTATACTGGACTGGCCTAAAATCCAGGTTTCCTTCCTTGTCAGTATAGTACATGCTGAGATAAATGTCCCTATGCAACATGGTTAAATCTGCTAAGATTCAGCGTAATTTTTCCACTAGCACTAGAGATACAAAAACACATGATGCAGGCTCAGTCAGGTTAAAGTCAGTCTGGAAAATCCAAGCACCACTCAATTTGCTTACCGTGAAAGTGGAAATTGCACTAGTGCACTGTTAGCGATCCAGCACTTTATCAACAAACACTTACATAATCCAGACTGTGAGGCAGTACGGGTATTCGCAATGGACTTCAGCAAAGCATTCGACTCAGTCAGACATGAGCTACTATCTAATAAACTAAAGTTGCTGCCCCTGAATATCTATATCATCAACTGGTATCAGAGTTTTCTTTATAACAGACAACCACTTAACATATAGTCCATAACAACCACCTTCACAAGTGGAAAGGAGTAAATAAGGAGACAACGCAGGGTAGTGTGAGCGGCCCCTACTTATTTAACGTGTTTCTGAATGACCTTGAAATCAAGCTACAATCTTGGACAAAATGAATGGAAAACCTTGACCCCCCCTCCCCCCCAAATCAAGGATGGGAAAATGGTGCGTTTTTGCCCTTCGCGCGCCTTCATCCTTGATTTGGGGGGGATGGGGGTTTGCTGTTCCATTTTATTTTGTCCAAGATTGTCTGAAAGCCTCGACTGGCGTTACTCACAGTGTCATGATAGCAATCATGACAAGAAATCTGCGTTCAAATGCTTCAAAGCTAAACGCTTTCAAAGCAAACCTGGTCATTTGTCAGTGAACTCATACAAAACAGAAGAATTGCGCTTATTTCATTTCTATAAAATAAATAAATAATTCACTTATCACAAGTCTGTATGAAGTGCGGGATGCATTACTCACTAGGAGAGAGTTCTGCTGCATGGAAGACGAAAAAAAGACATACTTATGCCTGATTCATTGCAATAATTTTTATAAGCTTGAAGGCGGAACCCCACAAAACATATATAGAAATTGCATCAGCTTGTAATTGCAGGAATAATTATAGTAAGAAAAAAAAGATTAATTTGGCTACAAACGAGACTCGAACCTGCCCAAAAAACCTCAGGTACGCTAATCCTTCTCACCGATGTTGCACGCTAGACCTCTAGACAATCCATGGAGAGGCAGTGTTGCCTTGGCGCTATTTTTAAGAACTGTATACAGTGCCTTTATAGATCATTGTTAGCGATATTTTATCTATATAGATTGGTTTTTTTCATTCTAGGAAATCGAACACGATTAATGTTGACAAACATAAGGATTAGCACGATTTACAACAGATTGCCGACGGTTTTTATTGGTTTTTCACGATTTTGTCGTGGTACAGTAAAGTAAGAGACAGTGAAGTCACTTTTATTTCAATTGGCTGCTAATCGTGATTGACCGTTGAAAACCGCTGCAAACCATCTTAAATCACACAAATACCTTTTGTAAACCGTCAGTGAAACGTCGACCGTGTCATTTTAACAAAGTTCGAGTGCGCTACACACAGTTTAAAAGTTTTAATTAGTAAAGTTTTAGCCTTTCATCGTTGTTGGTATTTCAGTGAGGTATAAAAAGTCCACAGTCTAGTGACTCCTGAGAAATAACATTAATGGTCCTTTTTACTCTGTTACAGAACTCTTTATATGATATTGCGAGTAATGCCATGTTCAAGACCGCCTTTTTCTAACGTCCCAGACACGATTTGCAAAAATGTTCTCTTAGGGTATTGTAAGTATGGACGTCCTCGGTGACACTTGTGACTGCGGGTCACAGACCAGTGTTTTCAACCGATAAATGTGTTGAAAGATGACTCTCTAATTAACAGTGACCACTTTTTCGTGACTTAGACACCTTCGAGACAATCTTGGACAAAATGAATGGAAAACCTAGACCCTCCCTCCCCCCCAAATCAAGGATGGGAAAATGGCGTTTTTTTGCCCTTCGCGCGCCTTCATCCTTGATTTGGGGGGGATGGGGGTTTGCTGTTCCATTTTATTTTGTCCGAGATTGTCTGAAAGCCTCGACTGGCGTTACTCACAGTGTCATGATAGCAATCATGACAAGAAATCTGCGTTCAAATGCTTCAAAGCTAAACGCTTTCAAAGCAAACCTGGTCATTTGTCAGTGAACTCATACAAAACAGAAGAATTGCGCTTATTTCATTTCTATAAAATAAATAAATAATTCACTTATCACAAGTCTGTATGAAGTGCGGGATGCATTACTCACTGGGAGAGAGTTCTGCTGCGTGGAAGACGAAAAAAAGACATACTTATGCCTGATTCATTGCAATAATTTTTATAAGCTTGAAGGCAGAGCCCCACAAAACATATATAGAAATTGCATCAGCTTGTAATTGCAGGAATAATTATAGTAAGAAAAAAAAGATTAATTTGGCTACAAACGAGACTCGAACCTGCCCAAAAAACCTCAGGTACGCTAATCCTACTCACCGATGTTGCACGCTAGACCTCTAGACAATCCATGGAGAGGCAGTGTTGCCTTGGCGCTATTTTTAAGAACTGTATACAGTGCCTTTATAGATCATTGTTAGCGATATTTTATCTATATAGATTGTTTTTTTTCATTCTAGGAAATCGAACACGATTAATGTTGACAAACATAAGGATTAGCACGATTTACAACAGATTGCCGACGGTTTTTATTGGTTTTTCACGATTTTGTCGTGGTACAGTAAAGTAAGAGACAGTGAAGTCACTTTTATTTCAATTGGCTGCTAATCGTGATTGACCGTTGAAAACCGCTGCAAACCATCTTAAATCACACAAATACCTTTTGTAAACCGTCAGTGAAACGTCGACCGTGTCATTTTAACAAAGTTCGAGTGCGCTACACACAGTTTAAAAGTTTTAATTAGTAAAGTTTTAGCCTTTCATCGTTGTTGGTATTTCAGTGAGGTATAAAAAGTCCACAGTCTAGTGACTCCTGAGAAATAACATTAATGGTCCTTTTTACTCTGTTACAGAACTCTTTATATGATATTGCGAGTAATGCCATGTTCAAGACCGCCTTTTTCTAACGTCCCAGACACGATTTGCAAAAATGTTCTCTTAGGGTATTGTAAGTATGGACGTCCTCGGTGACACTTGTGACTGCGGGTCACAGACCAGTGTTTTCAACCGATAAATGTGTTGAAAGATGACTCTCTAATTAACAGTGACCACTTTTTCGTGACTTAGACACCTTCGAGACAATCTTGGACAAAATGAATGGAAAACCTAGACCCTCCCTCCCCCCCAAATCAAGGATGGGAAAATGGCGTTTTTTTGCCCTTCGCGCGCCTTCATCCTTGATTTGGGGGGGATGGGGGTTTGCTGTTCCATTTTATTTTGTCCGAGATTGTCTGAAAGCCTCGACTGGCGTTACTCACAGTGTCATGATAGCAATCATGACAAGAAATCTGCGTTCAAATGCTTCAAAGCTAAACGCTTTCAAAGCAAACCTGGTCATTTGTCAGTGAACTCATACAAAACAGAAGAATTGCGCTTATTTCATTTCTATAAAATAAATAAATAATTCACTTATCACAAGTCTGTATGAAGTGCGGGATGCATTACTCACTGGGAGAGAGTTCTGCTGCGTGGAAGACGAAAAAAAGACATACTTATGCCTGATTCATTGCAATAATTTTTATAAGCTTGAAGGCAGAGCCCCACAAAACATATATAGAAATTGCATCAGCTTGTAATTGCAGGAATAATTATAGTAAGAAAAAAAAGATTAATTTGGCTACAAACGAGACTCGAACCTGCCCAAAAAACCTCAGGTACGCTAATCCTACTCACCGATGTTGCACGCTAGACCTCTAGACAATCCATGGAGAGGCAGTGTTGCCTTGGCGCTATTTTTAAGAACTGTATACAGTGCCTTTATAGATCATTGTTAGCGATATTTTATCTATATAGATTGGTTTTTTTCATTCTAGGAAATCGAACACGATTAATGTTGACAAACATAAGGATTAGCACGATTTACAACAGATTGCCGACGGTTTTTATTGGTTTTTCACGATTTTGTCGTGGTACAGTAAAGTAAGAGACAGTGAAGTCACTTTTATTTCAATTGGCTGCTAATCGTGATTGACCGTTGAAAACCGCTGCAAACCATCTTAAATCACACAAATACCTTTTGTAAACCGTCAGTGAAACGTCGACCGTGTCATTTTAACAAAGTTCGAGTGCGCTACACACAGTTTAAAAGTTTTAATTAGTAAAGTTTTAGCCTTTCATCGTTGTTGGTATTTCAGTGAGGTATAAAAAGTCCACAGTCTAGTGACTCCTGAGAAATAACATTAATGGTCCTTTTTACTCTGTTACAGAACTCTTTATATGATATTGCGAGTAATGCCATGTTCAAGACCGCCTTTTTCTAACGTCCCAGACACGATTTGCAAAAATGTTCTCTTAGGGTATTGTAAGTATGGACGTCCTCGGTGACACTTGTGACTGCGGGTCACAGACCAGTGTTTTCAACCGATAAATGTGTTGAAAGATGACTCTCTAATTAACAGTGACCACTTTTTCGTGACTTAGACACCTTCGAGACAATCTTGGACAAAATGAATGGAAAACCTAGACCCTCCCTCCCCCCCAAATCAAGGATGGGAAAATGGCGTTTTTTTGTCCTTCGCGCACCTTCATCCTTGATTTGGGGGGGATGGGGGTTTGCTGTTCCATTTTATTTTGTCCAAGATTGTAGGTTCAACTCCCACCCTTTTTAAATACACAGATGACTTAACCATTGTCACACCCATGTGGAAAGGGGGCAGTGATATGTCAAGAGATTTAGTGGAGACATTTTTAATCTGTGCGAACTGTAATTCCATGAGCTTTAACCCTAACAAGTGTAAAGAACTTGTCATAAAGAACAGGGCTGTGTTCTAGCAGAGCCCGGTGGCCCCTATGGTGCCTAAATTTTGCCCTTGGGCGACTAGAAAATCTCAGATTTTTCATACAAATCATATGCTGGGCACCCTAGATTTTACAGTTTCAGAGCACTGGGCTCCCTTCAATTTTCCTTAGAGCACAGCCTTGAAGAAGAAAGGGAACCTCACATTCTATCCTGTTGTATGTAATATACCACAACATGCCACTCTTGTTTTATTAGGTTTGACCTTTCAGAATGACTGTAAATTTTTTCCACACATAAAAGCTAAACTGTGCAAGGCCAACAAATGTCTAAACGTGCTAAGAGTATGTAGAAAAGAGCACTACAGCCAGACAGAAATTGATTATTTCTTCTATAGTATTGTTCTCCCGAACATAACCTATAGACTTTCTGTTTATGGTGCCTCCAATGTTGAAATTAATGTTCTTCGGCAATTTTTAGACAGATGCTATAAGTTGTGCTTTATATCTACACAGTTAAATATTAGATCATTACCACAAAAACAAGATAAAGCGATTTTTAAAAAAGTTAAACAGTGTAATAACCACCCTCTGAAGGTATGTTTACCACAAGAAAAGAACAATTTAACCTAAAACCTTAGACATAAAAGCTGCCAAAGGCCCAAGATAAACACCAAATGTTATAAGAACACATTTGTAAATAGATGAATTTTTAAATACAACCTTTTATGATACTTTATGTCAGATACATGTAACTAGTTTTTCACATTTTTTAGTCTTTATTCTATTTTAATTTAGCTGAACTTTTAATCTTTTTAACCTGTAACATTAAATATGTATTTTTATCTAATGAGCAATAAAGACATTTATTATTATTATTATTATTATTATTATGTTTGTTTTAATCTTGTACATAAATTAATGTCAAGGTTAATTCCTTATAATCATGTTGACTAAAATAGAATAAAGTAAAATGTTCTAATAATCCTTAAAATTAATATCTTTTGTTCTTGCCTTGTTAACAGTGAAGACATGAAACAACAACCAGTTCGCTTCAGGTTTGTTACAAATAAAGCTAATCCTAAACGTGTATTATCCTTAACCCTTTTTATAGACTACAAGTAGTCCCCATTTTTCCTCAGGGATAGTAGAGCGAGCGAAACATGAGCGCGTGTGAAAATCAACCCATGCAAGAAAGGTGAGACAGGGCAGTGAGAGAGAAAAATGAGGGACTAGAGACAAAGCCCAAGCTTTTGAACTTATGTGTTGCTCTGAACAATGCAAAACTCTGACTGGCTCAAAAACGCACCAGCCGCTATCAACACTCGACAAAATCACAATTTACAGAAAGAATTACTAGAGCAGAACAAATAACAGCACAGAACAAATAATTAGAGTACTGAGTTGCTCTTGTACTGAGCAACTACACAGAAAGCCAACCCGGCAACTGATGAGGTTCGCGTGGAGAACCGAAATCACAGTCAGTCTTGCACGATCACAACGTGGCAATAACAGAACAGTTACAAGGCTGTTAAGCTATTCAAAAGTTATCACCAAGGAAGGAACTACGTCCTTCAGTCCAAAGACTCACATTATCCTTAGAAAAACGAACTGGAGTTTAAAATTCATTGCTTTAAGAGCAATCATGACTCGGTCACATCGCAATTTTCCATAGTGATGTAGCTTCAGTTAAATTAAGCTGCAATCCATTCTTCAAGATTTGGATCTGTAAATCTGTACATCACTATCTGAGAGAGTTAAACATGCTGCTAAAAACACTAACAAGCTGGACCCAGCGTGACAAAACATTGCAGGAAACCGCCACATTCACGGACAAAAAGAAAATCGCTTGTAGTTATTCAGATCCAGGAGGCACCTCTGCAGAAATTGAACTACCTAAAACCCTTATTTAGCCACATTGAAGAACTTTACTATTCAAAAGAGGTCAAAGAAAGCTAAAGAAACTGCTCTTGCATCAGAGGGAAAATCATGCCGTCCATAAACAATAACCGCAGAAAATTAAAATGCGTGTCACAACCTCTTCCAGAACATAATTTATCCATCAGCGAAAAAAAAATTCATTGGAACAAGCAATATTTTGGCATGAGGTAAAAGTCGTGTGCTGCCTACAAACCCCCCTTTTTACACTATCAAGTTCTTCACGCGAAACAGCGTGAAGAATTAAAATTAGTATCTGGATTTTCTTTTACTTGCAATAAATATCCCTCGCAGTTTACCGATGACAAGAGCAATGACAGCTCACTGAGAGAAGGAATCCCATTGGTTGGCTTAATTGGTTTGGAAGGGGATGCGAACTTCATACTCGGCCGTGAAGGGTTCTCCCTGCTGCGTCTCGCCTTTGTCGCATGGGATGATTTTCACGCACGCTTGCATGTCGCATGCTCCAGATCCCTGAGGAAAAATGGGGACTACTTGTAGTCTACCCTAACACCTGTTAATAAATAAATTACCAGCAAATTCTTAACTAGTGTAACTGTTTTACTAAGATTATTCAACTTGAAAATGATAATTTGAAATAACAGTAATAATAAATTATTGAGAAATTGATAATATCATTGAAATTAACTCTCCAGCCATTAGAGGCAGTTGCACCTTATAAGAATGACCCCTATGTATTCACTCTATCGGAGCCTGCCATCCTGGCTGCCCTGAAACAACTAAATCCACGCAAAGCAGCCGGACCCGACTGTGTCCCCAATTGGCTCCTGCGTGAGTACACCGAGGTTCTTGCCGAACCGGTAACAGCAATTCTGAACTCTAGCTATAAAGAGCAAAGACTACCTTCGCCCTGGAAGCTCGCTGATGTCGTCCCGCTCCCCAACCAGAAGCCTGTGGAAGATCTTAGCAAGCAGCTGCGCCCCATCTCCATGACTCCCACCATCTTGAAACTCGCAGAAGATTTTGTTGTATCGACCCATGTCGGCCCTGCTGTGCTGAAGATCATTGACCATGATCAATACGACGGAGTCCCTAAATCCTCCACCCTGTTCACTCCGATCTCAATGTTTCACCACTGGTTACAAGCACTGGTTACACGGTACCGGTGCAGCTGTCAGGGTCGTGTTATTTGATTACCGCAAGGCCTTTGACCCTACCGATCATAAGTCACCAAGATCAATGGCCTCGATGTGCCGCACAGCATCAAAGCCCGGGTGACTGACTTTTTGACAAATCGACAAGTTGTCCTCAGACTGCTTTTCTTAGTGGAGTCCAGTCCCCGCCAGAGTTTCTCAAGGGTCCAAGCTCGGCCCTTGGCTTTTCTTACTCATGATCAATGATCTCAAGGTCGACACTCTCACATGGAAGTATGTGGACGATACGACAATCTCCCAAACCATACCTCTGGGCTCCCTGCGTGATGTGCAACACGCTGTTACTGCCGTGGAGGACTGGTCTTAGTCCCAGTGGATGCAGCTAAATGGCGACAAGTGCAAGGAGATGGTTATCGACTTTAAGAAGATCTCTCATAACTTCTCCCCTCTCGAGGTAGACGGAAACAAGCTTCCTGTCACCAACTATGCGAAGATGCTAGATGTTACGATATCCAGTGACTTGAAATGGAACAATCACATTGTAGATTGCATTAAGAAAGCAAATGTTGAATGTACAACAATCAGACCTGTACTAGAATACTGGGCTCCAGTTTTCCATCACGCACTCCCGGCTTATCTTAATGAGGATATAGGAAGAATTCAGAAAAGAGCGCTTTCTATAATTTCACCTGCCATGTCATAACAGGAATGCCTTGACAGCCTAGGCCTGCCAATGCTGTAAGATAGACGCAACGGACTATGTAGACAATTGTTCAATTCCATTGCTATCAATCCCAGACAAGTTATACCACCTGCTGCCATCAAGGAAACAAATTATCCAGCTATAATTTAAGGTGTCAAAAGTTATATAATTTGCCACGTTCCCAAACGGACCATTTCAGACGCTCTTTTGTTTATGCTATGTCCCAGGGTCGCGTATAAAGCTCTTAAAGTTTCAAAGAAGTCGACTTTATTGTAAGATTTTTATACATATTTTTTAGCTTTACTACACAAGGTATTTATACTCATATGATTGTAATTAGTTTTATATTTTAACTAATGCTATTTGTAAAATACGCAATTCAGTTTTACGACTGGAAAGTATTTATACAATTAACGATTTATCTACCTATCTATCTATCTTCAAATAAATATAAAAAAAATTATAGATAAATGCAAACGTTGATGTTAATCCTTAAAAATCAGTGGCAGAAGGCTTGGAACTTTTGTAAAAAAATTTTTCCATGGTTTGTACAATCTTGAAATGGTCTTTAATTTTACCAATTGTCCTTCAATTCAATTTAGGTCCTTGAATTTTTTATTTCTATGTTAGGTCTTCAAAAATCCTTGAAATTCACAACCTTCGATACGCCAGACATCTTTTTCTCAAAAATTAGATTATTTTGCTGTCGAACATTTGGCTCATCCTCGGTTTAAGAACCTCTAAGACTCACGGGTAACGTATCTAGAAGAGTTTTATGCATGAGCAATATTTAGTTTCAGTTTCTTTATTTAAAATGCTATTTCTGTACCTCAGATGCAATTCAGGTCATCATACACTCATTCATTTTGCAAAGTCTTGTGGCCAAAAGAAGTATGAAATAATGTAATCAACAATGGCCAAAGAAGTAAAAACCGTAAATGACTCTATGACGGGTTCTTGCCAATAAGGTGATCAAAGGGGGTTAAAGAATGCTGGTTTATTAAAAAATCTGAGTCCTTGAAAAATCCTAAGATGTCCTAGAAAAATTTTTGTCTAATGTAGTATGAACCTTGTATATCTAAATAGATGGAGAGTTTCTTTATGTAACTTTGCAACCCACAAGTTGAATTACGTCATATTTACATGGTAAAAAATATAAAATAAAAACACACACATTAAATCATTACATAATTTAAAAGACGAAAACTAGATCTACAAATGCAATTAAGTATATACTAAACTTATTTGAGTTCTGTTAAACTCATCACTAATAGATTAGCTTAGGGCATTGGTGCCTACAAAGTTGGTGGAGCCGAGCAGTGCTCTAGCATGAGGAGGAGGTATCCATGGCAACCCTGTGAGTGACCCCCATCAATCCGGAATCTCTTTGGTGCTTAAAAATGGAGGGGCCAGCGTACAGGGGGTGAAATGGAACCTCCGACTCCAACAACCCCAAGCACCAAGCTGCAGCAGTTGCATGAAAAAACAAGACAACACACTTACGAATGGAATGCAGCAACCAGTGAGAGTGACACCATTAACAGCAGTGCATGCCCAAGACAATACGGTACTCGGCTTGGCTGCAATGTCGAAGGCACTGCAGATAACAAATGGGACCTGCAAACGCAATGACACGGGATGTCAAGCTTGCTGACTAGAGATGCCCACAAGAGCTTTAGAAGGTGTCCGGATATAAAGCTGGTATGCATTGCTAGTCCAACATCCAAGAGCCTGAACACCATTGCAAGTTGCTTGGAAAAATTGCCTTCAATCCCCTCAGTAGAGAAAATTCACCGCAGCCAATCAATTAGGATTGAGCATGACAGAGATTGACCATTTGCGAATAGGAAGAAGGGGCCAGGGACATTTCCTTGTAAGGAGAGTTAAGCCAGCAGTGCCTAAACTGTGCAGAGAGGTGCCCTTCCCAGACCAATGTGGATGTGGCAACCCT